TCTTCAAACAAATTGCCAGCGGCCCTGGAAATCGGTGGTTTCCAAAGAGCACGAGGGGTGAAGAGAATGGGAATCAAACTTATCAATCTAATTGGGCGTGTCTCAATGGCCCCTGAATATCATCACCAATCCGATTTTTCGCGTGTCTCAAAATGGGATCCTGAAAAACTTACTTCAAGTGATTCTTTTTTGGTCACCCTAAAACTGGGGGGCCGTGGGACCTTCGAACCCAAAATGGGACCCTTGGGACCCTGGAGACCTGGGACTCGCCGTACCTTCGAACCCTCGAGCCCTGCGGCTGAGGCGCCCCCATGGCGGGCGCCACGGGTCCCACGGAGGCCTTCTCCCGCGGAGCCTCCGTCTCCGCCTCGCGGGCTCCGAGCGCCGACGAGTTCCGCCGTTTCCGACGCCGTTGGGTGCCGGTGGCGCCCGTTGGGTCAGGTGAGTCACTGGCTCAAAACCCAAGTTGGCTTGAAAAAATGGTGGTAATCCCAGAACCGTGCTTCAAGAAGTAAGAAGCGGAATGATATCCGCAGGGAAATTTAGGGTCGGGATTGTCCCTTATTACCAAGCTTCATCTACACGGGTTTTGATTGTGGCTCAGGCGATTGCCCCAAGTTTGCTTGGCCGCCTTGATTGGTTGCTGGTTGCCAGGTTGGGTCATCTCATGTATGCAACGAAAACCCTCAGATCTAAAAAAACACATCAGGACTGATATTTATCATATTTGAGCACTTGTTCGGGCTCGCCGCAGGCCACAAAGAATCAAAGGGCGGATGACAAGAGACCTGCAAGAGGATTCGCTGCTGCCTGCTGTCCGCAGTTCTCACTCGAGAAACTGAAGAAGACAGGCAAAGTTCTCTTGTCTGGACACAGCACCCACGGGTGGCTCGTTTTTTTGAGGGTACCCCTTTTTCGTGGCTTCGCTACTATTTGTCGAAATCTCAAAATAGTGGCAAAACAAAGTAACGTTGGAAGAAACCTCCGTACTGCATAAGGACCCAGCCGCGTTTATGCGAAACGAGGTACGGGAAGTGGTGCCTAACGAGTGAATTTACTGTAAACGGATCACCCAAAGACTATGTTACATGGCTGTGAGTCAAAACCCCGTACCCCAAGTGGACATCCCAATCCCCACTAAAATTGGTTCTAACATGGGTGGTGAATTCACCTACCCCCCCAAAATGGGATCCCAAAACGGTTTTGACCCACGCTCCGCCACATCTCTATGACAATCAAATGCGGAGATGCGGAGATGCCTGAAACACTTCGCAGGCTGGTCCCGATTCGCTTGCCCAGCTACTCAATCAATCAACCCGTCCGCTCCAAAAGCTTCAGCGGGTGTGGAGTCATGGTTCGGCTGCTGCATTGGGTATGGGTCACAATTAAACCACCAGAGCACAGGTGTTGGTCCATGTTGTCATTTTCCGTTCCATTTTGTGTACCTATTTTTGACCAGCCATCTAGGAAGGCGTATAAAAAAAAGAGAAACCCAGCACGTTCCCTCCTTGCGCGTGGAAACGGTCAATGAGTCAAAGTGATGGATCATGTTGTGAACCACCATGCGCCCTGCAGAACATTGGAACCATCGGTCACGGCAGGTGTCTTTCGCAGCCTCTTCCTGCTGCGAGCCGGAATTGTTCTCGTTCGACTCCTGCTCCTCAGGCCTGCACATCAAAGCCCAACAGAAGTTGCAGGGAATCGAATGTGGCCATACAGCTTCCAGGTCTTGCAAACATAGGTGGCCTTTTGGAAAAATAGATGGCCTGGTGGTAAATGAAATAAACCCCATCTAAACCAGGGCCCGCTTTTTTTTTCTGGAAACCACCCAAAAAGGACACCTATGCTTGCCAAACGTCGCCATTCTTTCCTTTTTCACCCCACTCGCGCCGAAGCGCCGCCAGCCTTGGACAGCTGGGCGCCAGCGTGGGCGGCGCAGACAAGGTGTGGAACCTGGGCGCGCGAGCCACGAGCGTTCCAACGGCTGCGCTCCGCTTCGCTCCGCTTCGCCGACCTGCGCGGGGCGCTGGTTTTGAAGCCCGCCACCACCAAACGCACCTCGGCTCGGCCGAAGAATTCGGAGAACATGCGGCATCAATCAAAACCGATCGGTACAAAAATGGTGAACCCAGAACCATGCTTCAAGAACTAGAAAGGCGGCCGCAACTATTTCCGGCTGGGACTGCCCCTTACCAACCTTCATCTACCCGGGTTTTGAGCAAGTGGCTCAGGTTGGCATTGAGAAAAAGATGGACTCTTCGCGCTTTCCTTCCGGCCCAGTGACGCGAAGCCGAAGCCCGAAGCGGCGGTTTTTGGGGTAGCCCCAGCTTCTGCTTGAAGGGAAGGCCAAAAAAATATGACCTAGCTGGGGGTGTCTTTTTCTTGAGGGTATGCATTCTGGCTCGGTTTTTTAAAGGACAACCAAGGGGGAGGGGCAACCTTAGAAAAGCCACGGCCAAAGCACGATAGCCCCCAGTTGTGTGTTGCTTGAAGGGAGGTCAAAATCAAACTATTCGAGAGACTTGGAGTCTCCTTTTTTTGTGGTGTACCCGTTTTGCCCCGGGTTGCAGAGAAAAACACCCCTTGCCTTTTGGGGGTCCGACCTGAAACAAGGGGCCACCAGCCAGTTGGGCTGAGCCGCGTCGTAGGCTGTGGAGGGCTCCAAAGGCCTCAGCGTCACCGTGGCGCAGTGCGACGCATCGACCTCGGGCGAGGGGCGGGCGGGCCGGCTCGAGCACGTGGCGGGCCGGCCACTTGGCTCGAGGTCTGTTTTGGAAAAACCGTGGCTGCGGTATTTTGGTTGACCCAAGGAATTGGTTTTCCAGGAGGGGGGGGGGGTTTTCTCGGGATCATTCCATGTCTCATTCCCTGAGCACCAGCAAGAAAAGGTGGCATCCAGATTCAATTCTGAGCTCAATTCATCTAGGGACGCGCGCCGGGCGCTTCTGGGCCAAGAAATTTGAGGCAGAGGCCGCTGCGTCATCTGAGGAGCTTGTTGCTGTCTCCGAGGGCTTGATGGAGACGTCCTCTTCGGACAAAACGTGTGGCCTCATCGGGCGCAGCGCACTTGGGTTTTCGGTTTGCAGCCTGGCCGAACTCGTCAACAACCGGCGCTGGCTGGATCAGTGATCGGAAGCAGCACGAGACAAAGCGGAGAAGCAAACAACTAGGGGTCCCAAAGAATGATGACGAGCATGAGGGGCGCTGCGCGCGCAAGCAGTCCTAGCGCGAATTAGCAAGCTCGCCCGAATAGCAGCAACAAAGTAGCAAGGATACTCTTCGGAACGCTTGGCCGGCAATGGTAAATTCATCCCACACACTCTATTGCAGCAGCATCATTCATCGACATTCTATTGATATCTTAACAATGTCATTGATCGCCGGCGAAACTTGCCCGACTGTCGCCTTGCTTTAGCACGCACTTGGGGTGATGTCCCGCCGACTTCAGCTGGCACTCCGCTCTTGTCTGCATTACATTGTTGCGCACGGTTCTTGAGTGTGTCAGTTCCTGATGAGCACGCTCCCTGTGACGTGAGCGAAATCATTGGTTGCGCGTGGATTTGCGTGAATGCGTGTCCACAACGAGCGTGCGAGTCGCGCGCTCGGATGGAGAAATCAAGCGGGAGTGCAAAACGGTCCGCAGCCCAGCGTTTGTCAACGCTCACCATGAGCCCCATCTGCTCTTATTATTGGGCTGGAGTTTGCTGCTTGCGTTCACATGTTCGGCATTTGTGAAGAGCGCACAGCTCGCAACCCCGAAACGCAAATTTGACAATGGCCTCGAACCAATCCTAAACCCAAACAGAGTCCGGGTTAACCCTCACTTTACATCGGAAGAGGCGTGCCCGAATCCGCCAAGGGATATACACGGAGCCCTGATGTCACACACGGATCGCCCTTCAGCAGCTACGCGGTTCAACCAAAGTGACAAGGCCAATGGTCCACGGTGCAGGTTAAAACAGGCTGGCTGAACACAATACTCAAACCAGGGGAAAGAAGCACTTGCCAAAATTGCAAAAAAACATCCAACTCGTTCTTTGGGGCTCGAGAAGCTCGCAAAAAACCCCCTCGACGGTTCCTCCCGCCTCCAGTCCCCTGATACCAGCCAGGAGGAGACACGGCACTCAGCCTTAACGTCCTCCCATGTGGTCTTCGCGGGCACCTGGCGGCCACGAAATACGGTGGATGGACGCGAAATCGTTCCGTTCCCTTCGAGTTCACCGCAAAATGGGAAAAACTGCTTCACGACATCATTGCTTGGTATACCTTGGGAATCATTGCTTGAGTTTACAGGGGAATTGAAGGATTCCAGGGTGTCTAGGTACGAAATGGATTTCATCCATCCACAGTCTGACCCGTGATGACCCGTGTTTTGGGGCATGTAACTACCCTCAAAACGCCCTGCGCTTCCCTTAGAGCGCCTTGGCAACCGCTGCAACTGCAAGTGGCTGAGCCCGGGGCTCGATATCGGACAACCAAGAAAGAGAAGCCAGCGCTCGAAAGCTTCGGCGAGTCACCTTGGCTGCGGGCCGCCGGCGATGAGTTGCCATGTCTCACCGAGCATGAATCATCCGCCCACCGAAAAGTATTGGAAATCCAATAGGAGCCATCTCTCGTCACCAGCCCACCGAAAAAAGAAAAAATCGGAAAGCCAAAAAAGGCCAGGCACTGATGGGGGACAGTGGCTGGTGGTGATGCCCGTCGTCCAGCATGGGCTCATTACCACGCTGACCTTGAAACTTTTAATCAACGTGTGGTGGGCTGGTCTGGTTGCGCTGGTCGCATCCTGCGAATGTCTAATCTCTGGATCTCTGTCATGGCTTCAAAGCAAAAAAAACGTCTCAAGTTCTGCAACCAACAGATATGTTCCCCACATCGGCTGTGTCAAGCTGTGAGCCCCAGGATTGAGCCAATTCGGCAATCTGCAAGAAACGCCTCAGACTCATGGTAGTTGCAGCTACGTTAGAGTCTGCGCAAGTGCATTTCAAATGAGCAGACTCCGTCAATGCCGCGCGCCTGGAGTAAAATCGATTAAAGTCGCTGGCAAAAGCCGGCAAAAGCAACAATGACTGAAGCATTTGCGAGTCTCCCACTGGCAGGCGTGCCTTGAAGCGAAAATGGCCGCAGTGATCCGCGGCACATCAACCACCAGCGACCGTGCTCTCATACGCCTTGCTTCCGCTTGGCTCTGACCGCGACAGGTCGCCGGAGCGATCTGAGAAAACTGGGGTGAAAATCTTTCAGCTAAATCGTATCGCTTTTTGAGGGTACCCCTTTCTCGTTTTTTTATGGGGAAACTAAAGAAAACAATCGTCATGGTGTGGTTGTTCATGCTCTTTTCCTTGTCTTTTTGCGGTGGGGTCCCTTTTGAAAAGCAACCAAAGAGTTGAAGCTTCGACCTGATCTCTTCAGGCGATATCCTCGAACTCGCCATCCGTGGTGAGGTCCTGTGCCACGTCCGGCAAGTTCGAATTCGTTAGACAGGCAACCATCGGGTTTTTTTGGTGGAATGAGCGGCCATATGCGGATTGTGTTTTTTCTTTTCTTGTGGGTTCCGCTCCTTTCGGACTGAGAAGTAACACATCCTTGCAGCATTCCCCTTGGGAATCCCGCGGACTCGGCCAAATGCAAATCCGCAACACCGCTCTCGACAAATGTGTCGACGCGAGCGCTGTGGCCATCCAAACCCCAGCTGAGATGTTGCTGTGCCCTTTGATTCAGCAACGTGCGAGCCAACTTTCACCTGTTACTTGTTGCCTCCCCAATTGCCCACAGACTTGCCACCACGTTTCTCAATGCTGCTCGCGACTGTGAATGCTTTTGCCACCGTCACACAATGCGATGAAATGCTTTTGCCACCGACACAGAAAACCCACAATCACAGTCACATGCGCTGTCAGTTGCTTTGTTGAGCACTGGACAATTCTTGTTCGTCCCGAGTCGTTGAAATGTGGCTCGTTCCACCAAAATCACGCAGCCCCTGAGGCGCATACTTCGGTTGCATCCAGAAGGTAGGTCTGGAACCTGACATTTCCACGATGGAAGTTTTTGTCGCAGAAGGGGCCAAACTTGGAAGCAAACCATAGGTGACCTGAACTGGAATGAAGATGGCCGGCTTTTGTTGCTTCAGCGTCTCGTGTGCCCAAGTCGGGCACTTCTCCATGAACTCTGACACGTCCTTGTGGATTCCCATGAATGCGTCGTAGTCCTGGCATCTATTTGGGTTTCTCAACTGGAACCGGACCCCCTTTCACCCGGGGTTTGGTCTCTGTTTCCGTTTCCCTTCACAAGGAAGAAGGTATCGGCAAAAAAGCACCCCTCTGACTCCGGCCGGTTTCCAACCCCTCTCAGGGCACACAGCCCGTTCTGGTCAAATGCCCAAACCAATGACCAAGAGGCCGTGATGAAACAAAAAACAAGAGCAAGCCACTGCTGGTATGGATATGGCTCCCTTACCAGAATCCTGATGGATAAAGCTCCCATGAGCATCCCTTCAACCCGTGGTATGGTAGCAAAGCATTGTTTTTGTGCAGTCCCCCTACTAGAAATGAACAGAACCAAGAAAAACTAAAAACCCCAACATGGTAGCAAAACACTCTGCCTTTTGTGCAACCCCCTACTAGAAAAAAACAGAACAACAAACAAAAAGGTGAAAGCATTGATCCAACGAGAGTGCAGGCATCCCTTCATCTGCACTTCTTCCAATTCTGCTCCTTGGCCTTCACAGGCTTGTCTGCAGACTTCACCTTCTTCCTGAAGTTCTCCACCAGCGTCTCCGCCTCATCGCCGGCCCGCGGCTTCCGGGGAGTTCCAAAGAAAAGGCTCCATGTCCCATAGCCCAAAGGCGAAGATGAAAAAGAGGGTCCCCCAAACGGGGATTCCTTTGGAAAAGGTCAGAACCTCGAAGCCATGCTCTCGGTTTTTGGGTTCTGCTTTTCTCGAGGGTAGCTTGATCTGCGCCAACTTTGCAGGCGCCTCCTCCTTCTTGGAGCCCTTCAGTCCTGCGCAAACCACGGCCCAAAACAAAAACCCGTTGGCCGTTGACGTTTTCTTCGCCTCGGGTGAGGTACTTCATATCGTCGTTGAGGCCGTAGATGCGCCTCGGACCCCAGGACGATGCGTCGAACACCGGGGCGCGAAGGCGCGCCGCGGGCAGCCGGAGCGAGGCGCGCCCGCCTCAAGAAGCCGATGGCATCATCCCACTCCTGAGCTCTTCTTCGAAACGGTTTGGATGCGGTGAATTTGTGGATCCACCCTTTGGAGAGCAAAAGAGTACGAAAAGAGTAAATTAAAAGAGGAACAACTCGCCAAACAACATGGGGAAACCACAGAAAGCGATCATCCAATCCGTTTTTCTGAATTGGTCGCCGAAGAAGTTTACGTCGGATTGATCTGGGGGTTGATTGCCCATTCTTACCCTGCTTCTTTTATCAAAACCCGCCGTTTTCTCGGGGCTCCTCGAATGGGGACCCCTAGAACTGAGGTCTCCGCCTTGTCTTTCTCCTCAGAGGTGAGCTTCGGTGGAAGCTCCTTCCAAGCCTGCCCAAGGCTTGACAGTCGCAAGGATGACTTTCCTCAAATCGAAAACGCCTGTATTAATAAACGCCAGCTTATTAATGGGGGGTGTTCCCCCCAAAAGTGATGAATCCCACTAAAACCAGGGACGCCCCCATATTAATAAACAGGGGGTTTCTTGATCTGGGGTCATAACCTCTACAACATTCGCCGCATTGGCTGAGCCTGCAAGCCCTTGCGGATGCGCATTTCCTGCTTGGCGCCCGGTGGCAGGGTGTCGCCTGCCGTCGAATGAAAACACCGCGGACAAGTCATGGAGAAGCAAGATATGGGTTTGCCGCCAAGGGGTCCAAATGAGTGGTGCAATTTTGGTGATCTCCCTCAGGATGGCTTCAATAAGACACACCCATATACCCCCCCCATAAGAAGGAAGATCATACCCTATGTGTCGTTCTGGCTGGTTCTAGCTTTGAATCAATTGTTGGAGTTGAATTCCAATATTGAATAGCTGGAGCTGATTTCCCATAACTGCAACAATTATTGCTATTGATAGAATTGAATTTAAGGGAATTCCCGAATTTTGCAATCATTGCAATTAATGGAATTAAAATCCAATAATTGCAATAATTGCAATATTTGAGGGTCCCGAATTTTGCAATCATGCACTAATTGCAATATTTAGGGGGTCCCGGATTTTGCAGTTATTGCAATGATTGGAATTAATTGGCCTGGCTTGGGGCCAAAACTGGGATCAACTAATTATTGCAATTGCAGAATTCGGGACCTTCAAATGTTGCAACTTTTGTATTATGAGAATTCAGCTCCAATAATTGCAATCAAAAAGCCAGGGACCCCCAACTATTGCAACTATTGAAATTCAACTCCAATACTTGCAACAATTGCAATAATGGCAAGAGTTGCAATTATTGTAATAATTAATTCATCCCAGATTTGGCCCCAAGCCAGGCCAAATAAATCCAATAGTTGGAATAAGTGCAAAATCCGGACTCCCAAAGATTGTAATCGTTGCAATGACTCGGATTCGATTCCAATACCTGCTATAAATGCAATAATTAATTAATTGCCAGATTTGGCCTCCAATAATTGCAAAATGCGGGGCCCCCAAGTATTGCAATGATTGCAATTGTTGGAATTGAATTGCAATAGGTGCAATGAATTGTCAAATCCGTAACCCCCCCAATTATTGCAATTAATGCAATTAATAATTGCAAAATCCGGGGCTCCAAAATATTGCAATAATTCATTAACCCCATGTTTGGCCCCAAGCCATGCCAAGTAATTCCAACAATTGCGTGAGAGTTACTTACCTCGAGTTCCCTAAGAGGCACTCGTCCCTGTAGGAACAATGCGAATCAATAGCAGCAATTCTAGTTACATTGTCGCTTAATAGAAGTACTAATGATCATGCGAACAATTAGCAAAACTGCCTCTGGAATCCTCCAAAAGGAACCAATCTCCTTTAGAAGAATCAAAGCAAATAGAAGAATTAGTCTGGAAAAACAAAAAGGCCCCTTTTGAAACAATTAGACTTGCAAGACTAATAACGGCTATATATCTATAATTGCGCCATCCAGTATAGTTTTGAATGACCTGGATAAGGTTGAAAAAACAGAAAATGACTTTGACATTCTAGAACAGAAGCAAGTATGATAATATGGGGCTGGAACCTTCCCAAGAGGCACCCGGTTTTTTGGGAATAATGACACTGGGCAGTATGTGTTCATTCTCATAAGTATTAAAGATGTGATATGTCCAAAGTTGGAGAAACAAAATGAAGATGAACATCTTGAATAGTTCTTCTGGAGTTCCCCAACAGGCACCCGCCCCTCAAAAAATGCCTAGCACAACTAGAAGCAAAGAGACAAAGTAGGCCATTTAGGATAAATAGATTAGATTGAATGTGTGTTGTCCTAACTACTTTCTGGAAGGGTAACTAGATCAAGCAGAAGCAACAATGAGTCTGGAATTCCCAAAAGAGTATGATTAGAACAGCTTAAATCGTTCCACAAAAGGCACCCATGCCTTTGGGTCCAAGGAGAACTAAAGAACGCCGCAAGGCTACATGCCTACAAGTATTCTACATGTTTCTATGCTTTCCAAATTGGGAGAAGCATGGTCAATCGAACTAGACAGGTAAAAGTTGTCTTGCTCAACAGGTGCCAGTCCCTTTGTGAATAGTCGGAACACTCAGAAAACATTGGGTCTTTGCTCAAATGGTCTCTTTTTGTTACATAACAAAGTAATAAGTGGAAAACATCGGATAAGTTGGGAATAACTAGGTTTATTAGTGTGATTGTCGCAAAAATGAACCTGGAAGTCTCCTAAGAGCCAATGGGAATAGTTAGGACTATTAGGCAAGAAATGGGGCTATGTTTGTGATTCTTCTAATCAATAATCATTCCAACAGTTCTAGTTGTTTTGCTTATTCATGTGTCTGTTTAAATAGTTATGTGTTTGTCTCCTGATTCGTTTACTTCTGAGTTTTCTCATTTAACCATTGTTTATCATGTGTTTCTTTACTCATTCAGTGTTTATTTATCTGTGTATATTATTTACTTAAATAATTAGCTTGTTGGTCGTTGTTTGTTTTATGTTCTGATTGACTTATTGTTATTCTATGTATTTGCATTGTATGTAATTGCTCTATCCATTTATGTATGCTTATTTATTCATTGTTTTGTTGATTTGCTTGTAATAATTCATTTGCTTCAAACAACAAATCCTGGTTTCCCAAAAGGCACCCCGCCCCTCAGAATAGCTTGTTTGCTGCTAGTTCCCCACTGCTCTAATCGATTAGGGTAAGTACAGCAAGTAGAGAAATGAACCTGGGATCATAAAGGCAGCCATCTCGTTGGGAACAACTAGGGTAAGTCGAGCAGCTAGCAAACTGAATTTGGAGCTCCCGAAAAGCGCCCCATCCCCCTGGGTTTTTTTGTTAGAACACGTGGAATCGGTCTTGCAATAAATTCAAAGATCCAAATATGTATGAGAGTTACTTACCCGGAGTTCCCTAGGCACTCGTCCCTGAGCAATGCGAATCAATAGCAGCAATTCTGGCATGTTCGCTTGTAAGAATTATTCATGATGATGCGGATGCGAACAATTAACACAATTGAATCTGGAACCCACCAAAAGGAACCAATCTCGTTTTAAATAATTTGGAAAATTAGGTTGAATTATCAGAACAAATAGAAGAATGAGTCTGGAAAAACAAAAAGGCTCCCGCCCCTCTTGGAACAATTAGAATACTAAATAGAACAATTATAAATTCATAATTACGTCATCTATTATATTTTTGGAAGAATTAGGTTAATTTGAATAAATAGATGAAGGACTTTGAAATTCCACATCGGCACCCGTCCTTTTCGAAGAAACAAATATAGAGTAATAAGAAGTAGCAGAATATGGGGCTGGAACCTTCCCAAGAGGCACCCGCCCCTTTGGGAAAATGAGCATGATCGGCATGGCTAGCAGCACACTGGGCAGTATGCTTTCATTCTCATAAGTATTAAAGATATGATATGTCCAAAGCTAGAGAAACAAAATGAAGCTGGAGTTCTCCAAACGGCACCCATCCCTTTCAGACGTACTAAAATGCTTACTTTTCTACTTCTGCTAAAGAATCAGAACACTAGGAACTATTGAGGCCATCAGGCAAACTGTACCTGGAATTTCGCAAAAGGCACCCGTCCCTTTGAGAATAACAGCAGCAAGTAGAACAATTCGGACCAAAAAGGACGATGAATTGAAAACTAATTGTTCTTTTCTTCTAGCTTTCCGATGAACTAGAACAATAGGAAGACGAGATATGTTCCATGGATTTGTGTTAATTCATTTTCATTGTTTCAATAAGTTGGAGAAACGGCAATAGTTAATAGCTTGAACATCTTGAATCATGCTTCTGGACGCCTCTTTGGGAATTCTTAGCACAACTAGACGCAAGAGCAAAGTAAGACATTCTGGATAAATAACATATTTGGAATATGTAGGAAATATAGTTTCCAAAGTGGAAGCAACAAGGAACCTGGATTCCCAAAAAAGCACCCATCCCTCTGAACATAGATAGAACAATTAGAACAGTTAGATTTGTTTGACATGATTAGGGAAACAAGAAGGTGGAATCACCCAAAGGACACCCATCCCGTTGAGAACTATTAACACAATTTAGAAGCCAGAAGATCTAGTTCATTAGTTCAATTTAAGCAGCTAGTGTAGTTTGAATTCTTTGGAAACACATGACCCTGGAATTCACGAAAAGGGCACACATTTCTAAAGAATACTTCGAATATTTTGTGAGTAGTGAACCGGGAATCCCCCCCATGGCTTTGGGAATGCTTAGGTTGCTTAACCTAAGCAGAACAATGAATCTTGCATTTTCTCAAAGGCATACATCCCTTTAGGCAAAAATCAATAGTTAGAACAATTTAAAGTTGAACACATGCGGGGAAGAGGACAACTTGAAAAAACCACGCCGCGACGCATAGGCCTCAGACCCCTTTGCTTTTTCCTTTCCTCGTACCCCGAAGCCTAGGGACTATAGACGACTCAGTTTTCTTTCCGAAGCACATGTCGTACCCAGTGCTTCCAGTAGCTGTTGGCAGGCCAGGATTCGTGGTTTGGTTAAGGAGGGGTTTCCCATCTACCCTCCAGAACCACAGACCACAAATTCCCAAAATCCAGGCCACAAATTAGGGGGCACCTGACGAAGCGTTGCCTGCAACGCTCCGAGATGGGTCACAAATCGGTGCCCTTCTTGGGCCATGACTTGAGGCGATAAGCAGGGAATATGGGAATGAACCCAGGGAACCACGAGAGATGGTTCATTCGAGGAACTCCCGCGCCAAGAAAACTAGGACATGTCCTGGCAACACGGCGCGCTTACCCCGCGCCGTCGCCCACGTCGGCACGTGCTTTGGGTGCAGCTGAGGCAAAGAGCAGGGCTGCTGCAGCCACCACGTCACGGCCTCGGGTGCTGGTGAGGTTTTTTTTGTTTTTGTTTTTTTATAGTAAACCAGTCCCCCGAAAGTCACAGCCCCCCCTGCACTGAAAATGGGATTATTACAATGGGTCCCCCTTAAAAAAAACGGAAAAATCGGTCAGCCATTTCACAGCTAACCAATAAGATTGTGAGACTGGTACCTGAGCTCTTTAACTCTCGATTTGAGCTCCTTGGCCCCCAGAATCTACAAACAGATTGTTTTGTAGATTTCTGCTTTGCTGCATTGAACAAGTTTCAGCTGCCAAGTTGTCAGTTGTCCCCACCTGTGCCGAGCCGGACAGCTTTCTTTCTCGGTCAAACAAACGCCAGTGGCCAGACTCACAAATTGCTGGCTTCCGCAACTTCAAACGAGGCTACCACGGGACCAAATCCGCTGGGCACCTCAAGGCAGATCTGTAGTGATCTGGAACATGAAGCCGCAAAGGCCCAGCGTGATGCGGAGCATCTTCGGCAAGCCCGGCTCATCGCGCACCCCCACCACCAGCTCAAAGGAGAGCTCCACACCTAAGCTGAAAAACCTGCGATCGCTGCGATAGGAAGGGAATGAGGAATGGACTGAACCCAGGAATTGGTCCCCGAATCAAGGAATCCACCAGTTGGATGGTTTTTCCTTCTGGCCATTCCATGTTTCATTCCCATCTCTCGCACCAAGAAAAAAACGGTGTTGGAATTCGATGCGCGGGACTGAGGAGGTCAGTCCAAGTGGCCTGCGTCCATGCTAACTCCTGCGCCTGGGCAAAGCTCTGAGTCGCCACTTTTTGCGGTCAACCAATCCGGGTCAGTCGCTTTCGGGGATTCCAGGATGGTTGCCTTCCCTGCTTTTCTTCCAGAACCCAAGCAGGGTCCTCCCAAGAAAAACATGTCACAACAAAAAAGCTACGCGGGTCCAAGAAACCAACACATAAACCAAATTTTCGAAAACAACAAAACAAACGCACAAAGTGCATAACTTTTGGTGACCTGAACATCGTTCTTTTTTTGGGCCCCGCCTACGTTGCGGAAGTTGTCTTCATCCTTCCATCCTGCGCAGATCTTCGCCTTCATGCCAATGCCCGTGGCCGCCTTTAGCTTCAAGTCGATGTCACTGTGGCCCTGGGACAGATACCAAGTGTGGTGCTTAAAGCACCTGACATTCGGGGGAACCTGCGACCGCGACCTGGAAGGTTACCAAGAACGGTGCTTAAAGGAGTGTGGGGGGAGTGGGGAGGGGGGAGGGGAGGGTGGGACGGGAGTGGGGGGAGTGGGGGGGAGTGGGGGGGAGGGGGCGAGTCGGGGGGAGTTGGGGGGAGTCGGGGGGAGTCGGGGGGAGTGGGGGGGAGTGGGGGGGAGTGGGGGGGAGTGTGGGGGAGTGGGGGAGTGGGGGGGAGTGGGGGAGTGGGGGGGAGTGGGGGGGGGGGTGGGGGGGGAGTGGGGGGAGGGGGGAGTGGGGGGAGTGGGGGGAGTGGGGGGGAGTGGGGGGGAGTGGGGGGGAGGTGGGGGGGAGGTGGGGGGCAAGTGGAATCTTCGATGCCTTGCGGGAGTGTTTTCGTGGGCTGGATGCGGCTGTTTCTTAATCCCGCTCAACCACTTTCGCCCACTTTACCAACATCAGGGGCATTCCTCCAAATATGATAGTCATAATACCTCGACCCTCAAAAAAGAACAAATTGTGGCTTATTACTTGTTTGGCTTATTTTACCAAATGAGCGAAATTTGAGAAATCTACGCGAGAACTGCCAATTGCATGGTTCGCAGAACAGCTTTCATGAGGGTACCTTCCAAAATAGGAGACAGACATGTAGGTTTCCATGACATGGTGCAGGGATGCGCCACAACCCCAAACAAGGTAAGGGAGCTTGCCCCCAACACTTGTTGCAATCGATGGATTTGTGCCATCCGCGGAAATCGGCGGGAAATGCGCGGAAATCGGCGGAACACATGCGCCAAAAAACACTTTCTGGAACTTGCCTGTGTCGCTTGAACAAGTTGCGGACTGGGCGCCAGGCCTGCTACTTCATGAACAGCTGGCGAACGGTGGGTTGGAAAGGTCTAGAGTTTGTAGGCTTGGATTGGCGGGATTGATGACGGCCCAGTAATCGGCAAGCAACCACGGAGAGGTCGAACAAAAAATATGTTTGTTTGGGTAGACAAGTGTTCGTCCCAACACTTCGCGTTGTTCTTGCTTTTTAAGGGAAATGTGGGGCAATTGTTCTTAAAGAAGCTCTAGGGATATTCATTGTATACATTTGACAGCTTGTCCTCCGTCTCAAGATCTGTATCCAAAGCAGAGCCCCACTCGACGTTTCAAAGGGCTTGCCTCATTCAATGCATCTTCTGTCACATTGTAGCCGTTCTCGTTGAGCAGCTTGGCGACCTCGCTGCTCTCCTCGTTGGTGCCGATGACCTCAGCGAATCCATCGTGCAAAGAAACACGGCGCGTTGAAAGAAGGCTCTGAAAATATGGGTGACCCCCAACACAGGTTCGAACAAATGGCTTCTACACTCTCTGGCGCAAACTGGACTCCCATGAACGGTGGGCGCCAGGCCTTCTGCGCGTTTTCAATGGCAGACTCGATTCCCGGGATGATCTGGGGAAGGTCCTGCGCACAAATCACTAAAACTCTCCGGACCGAGCCCTGATCAGAGCAGAAGCCCTTGGCCCAACAAGCAGAGCTATTGCTTCACATAGCACAGATCAGCACACCCGTCATGGACGTTCGTGCGGAGGTTCCGCCAGAGCCCATCCCAAGTTGGTGCCCTTGCCGATACTGCAACACTGGCTTCTGCCGCCGCGAACCTCAAGCGACAAAGGGCTTATCACAAGTCGGCTCCTTAAGAGTCGTAATATATACTTGAGTGAATGTCTCACTACGAGAGGAAACACATGGCATATTTGTGCTTGCGATAAAAACAAAAAAGGATTGGATCCCACCGCCATGCGAGGCGCACGGAGATGCCGTCGCGCACGTCGCCGATGCCGACGCCCGCGCTGCACCCGGCCACGGCGATGGAGATCTCGAACTTCGGGGCGACTGAGACCCCGGTGGGGCAGAAGGTGAAGGGCCCGAGGGACAGGGACCACGGCGGGGCCTTCGCACTCGCGTTCACCTGCACCAAGGAACCGGCCTCGGGACCTGCCGCTGCCGGAACCGCGTCGGCGGGGTGGTGCAACTGAATCGCGCGGAACGTCTCCGTGAGCTCGTAAGGAGCGCCGCTCTCGCGATGAGCGGACACCGGCGCTAGCAGCAGAAGCAGACGTAGGAAGGCAGCCATGAGATGTGCAATATAGATATATCACAAACCACTTTCGGTTGCTGAACCAAAACAGGCTGCACATGGCCGCGATGTCGACAAAAGCATATAGGATTGTTTGGCAGACACAAAGCACACCTGGCCTGTTTCTTGCTTGGGTGACCCTTGGGCTCTTATTTTGCCCAAGCAAAGCGGGAGCAAGGAGCCAGGCCCCAGGTCCCCTGGCCCCAAACAAGGTGAGGCAAACTCGTGCTTTTTGATGCTCTCTTCCAAAGGGGAAGAAAAAACAACCATGTTCAAGTTCCTCATTCAAACCCAAATGCCATCCGGGGCATCCATCTATTCAGGGCGATTGTGTGCTATTTAGAGATGTGGAAGCTCAACCCTCCTAACTTTCAGACCGTCCCTCACGACACTAAGATTTGAGAGTTCAATGATTAGCAAGCCTTCGGCCTTGCAAAGAGCTGAAGCTGGTTAACTGCAAAGGCTTCTCAAAATGCATTTTTCTGGAGCCGTTTTTGGTTACAAAACAAGTCAGAAAGAGAAATAGCATTCTACATCCTGTCAAAATGCTTTGCAAATAATATTATTATCTAACTATCTTCATGCTGTTCTTCCTATAGAAATTACCTTAAGATGTATCTCTTCTCTTCCTCTTTCTACCTCTCATTTGAGTTTCCAAGAGGAAATGCAAGGTAAACATCAAATAGAAAGGAATAAATAATATCATTCCGTCTTAACTAATATGTTTCTACAATATGAAATAATATAAGAAGATAAAGATGAAATGACAATGACAAAATGAGGAATGAGGAAGGAACATAATGTTATTCACAGCCTTCTTTCCTCTACGATATTCCTCAGCGTTCGTTCTCTTCTAAAATATGGATCATAGAGGTTCCTCTTTGGACCAATTCTACCTTCCTTCCTCCTTCCCTGCTGGTTCCATTTACCAGGCCCCCCCCCCCCCCCCGTTTTTCCAGCCCTCCCCAAACGGAAAAATTGGTCAACCAACCAATGAGACTTTGAGATTGGTACTTGAGCTCTTGAGTTCCCGATTTGAGCTCCTTGGCACCCCAGAATCTACAGCCAAACAGATTGCTTTGCTGCTTTGCTGCTTTGCTGCTTTGCTGCTTTGCTGCTTTGTTGCTTTGCTGCTTTGCTGCTGTGCTCATTGAACAAGTTTCAGCTGCCAAGTTGTCGGTTGTCCCCACCTGTGCCGAGCTGACGCGACCCGGACAGCTTTCCTTTTTGGTCAGACAAACGCCAGTGGCCAGACTCACAAATTGCTGGCTTCCGCAACTTCAAACGAGGCTACCACGGGACCAAATCCGCTGGGCACCTCAAGGCAGATCTGTAGTGATCTGGAACATGAAGCCGCAAAGGCCCAGCGTGATGCGGAGCATCTTCGTCGAGCCCGGCTCATCGCGCACCCCCACCACCAGCTCAAAGGAGAGCTCCAGACCTAAGCTGAAAAACCTGCGATCGCTGCGATAGGAAGGGAATGAGGAATGGACTGAACCCAGGAATTGGTCCCCGAATCAAGGAATCCACCAGTTGGATGGTTTTTCCTTCTGGCCATTCCATGTTTCATTCCCATCTCTCGCACCAAGAAAAAAACGGTGTTGGAATTCGATGCGCGGGACTGAGGAGGTCAGTCCAAGTGGCCTGCGTCCATGCTAACTCCTGCGCCTGGGCAAAGCTCTGAGTCGCCACTTTTTGCGGTCAACCAAT